CAGGGAGGACCCCACTTGCCATTTCTTTTGTTGGTCACCTTTGGGGCAGGCGGGGATCGAACTCATGCGGAAGTGGCTTTAGCTTCTCAGTGCAGTGCTTTAACCCGCTGCGCCACCAGGGAGGACCCCGGTCATCATCATCTTTTAAGTGAACTAAAGTTGGTTTACATTAATGTTATTTTAGAAATAAAAGAGTGACCTCTGCCCTACTCAGATGTCACTACCATAGTGCACTTGCCACCAAATCATCCATAGTCCATCACCACAGTCCACTGCGTTCCTTTCCTGCTCTGTTCTCACCTCCTATTCACCTCCCCTCAGAGTATTCAGTTCTGTAGTCAACTTTCAAGTTTTTAAAACTTTTTTTGACATGTTGGTTTCCTTATATTCTATAAATAATGCCATAGTGTTTATCTTTCCCCCTGTGATTTATTTCATTATATTTTTATCCAGTGTTTATCTTCCCCCCATGACTAATTTCATTATATTTTTCAGTTTTCCAAGTTGCTGCAGAGGCTTAAGTTTACCTGTTTTGATGGCCAAGCAATATTCTAATCCCTGTGTACACACACACACATACACAGACACACACGACATACCTAAGTCCCAAAGATAAATATAGGCTCAAGATAAAGGGCTAGACGGTCATTCTCTTAATTTCTATTTCTTTTTAGTTCTACCTTGGGCTTCTGTCCTTTGTTCATCTTTTCAAGTTCTCTTTTAAGGTTCTATTGTTGGTCCTAGTCTCCTTTCTGATATCCCTGATAGTTTCATTATATCATTTGCTTGAAGTACTACTAGGCTTAGATTACAAAATTTTTTTTGTCATAGAAGTATCCCTTTCTCATTGTGTACAAAACTGAAATATGTTGTCTTCGTAAACAGCTAGTTGTATTTTACCATTACCTGACTGCTGTCATCCTTTTACTCAATCATGAAAGTTCAAATTTAGTATTAGATGTTCTTCTTATTCTTAGCTGCTATATCTAATAACTTATATACCTTTTAAATCTGTTCTTACTCATCCTTTCTCTAATAACATAATTTCATAAAATTGGTCTTGTATTTCTTTAATTATCCCATTTCTAACTCATTCTTGTTCTGTGTTAAAGTTATTTCTCCAGGCTACATGAATTGTTCTTGTCTTTTCCTTGTCTGTGCAGATATAATACTGTCATGTACATTGCAATAAGAGAACTTTTCCACTTATTGCAATTATTTATATGTCTTTTCTTCTCTTACATGGTTTTTCTTCCTTTTGGTCCAGTGGTTAGAAATAAATAGTTTTGTTTTTTTTTTAAAGATTGAATAGCTCAATGATCCATTTTATTTGGGGAGAGGGCTTAGCTAAAGCAATCATTTTATTTTTCTTCTCAAAATTACACATGTGTAAATTATCCATTTCCTTTTGGTGTCTATCCAGTAGTGTTAAGCTCGGACATACTTATTTCCCTCTAACATGGTTATAAACTTGTCTGATTTTCCTGATGAGAACTATTATTTATTATATGGGCAAGTGTCTATTTTATAGGATACAAGTAATAGATTTACAAATTTATAAAGTTCACTGTGCTTTAAGCATCTCCAAATATTTGATTTACTTTTTTTTTTCAAGTAAATGCTATTTTTAATTGCCAAACAGAAAAAAAAATCCCATAAAACTGAGGCAATTTAGCATTTGTCAAGATTTGAATAAAAGGTTACTTGAAGCTTCCACTTTCACCTTAGAGCATTCAAAAGTTAGTATTTTAAAGTAAAAAAGTGAATACTAGTTGATCTAGACATGCAGCAGAAACTAGTGCTTAGTTAAGTTAGAATTCTTTTGATATGCTTTTTGGTTTCTGATTTGTGCTTTAAAATTTTCTCATAATAACAATATTCAGTGGAAAGAACATCTAAAAAAGTCAGATATTCTGATAGTTGGGCGGGAGTCAGTTTTTTTTTGGTAATATTTATTTTTTTACATCATTCTTCATTTTGTACATTTTCCCATCTCATTTGTAGACCCCGTGGGATTCTTTTCCCACCCCAGTTTTTATCCCATTCCCTTTCCACCCCATACCAGGTCTCTGGTTTATAGTTGTTCATTTTTCTCATTTTTACTTTATTACATTTGCTTCTCTTTCTCTCTTACTCTCTCTCTTTTTTTCCTTTTTCCCTGATCCCCTTACGCTCCTGCTATGAATGAAACCATCTGGTAGTTTTCATTTTCCTTCTGACTGATTTCACTAAGTATGATCCCTTCCAGCTCCATCCATGGTGCTGCAAAAGGCATGAGTTTATCTTTTTTGATTGCTGAGTAATATTCCATTGTGTATATGTACCACATCTTTTTAATCCAGTCATGTATTTTTGGGCATTTGGGTTGATTCCACGTCTTCTGTATTGTAAACAGTGCAGCAGTAAACATGGGGGTGCAGGTATCTTTTTCAGTAAATGTGTCCTTTGGGTAGATACCTAGGAGTGGCATTGCTGGATCATATGGAAGTTCATTTTTAGCAGTTTGGGAAACCTCCAAATAGCTTTTCATAGTGATTGTACTAGTTTGCATTCCTACCAGCCGTGTACAAGAGTTCCTTTTTCTCCACATCCTCGCCAACATTTGTTGTTACTAGTTGTTTTCATGTGTGCCTTCCTCACAGGTGTGAGAAGGTATCTCATTGTGGGAGTCATTTATTCTATAATATTTTGACAATATTAATAAAGAGTAATGGTTCTTTTCTTTTATTGATGTTTTGCTTCATGAATCTGATATATAAGAATAGACAATAAAGTCTTATTAATTTCTAGAATTGGGAAAGACCCCACAAAAGGCAAATTTCATAATATATTGGTATTTTGATTATTATCATCTAATTAAAATACTAAGTTCTATGAATTTATTTAACAAATATTTATGGAGTGCTTACTATGTGCACTGGAGGAATAGAGCTTAGAATAAGAGCTTACATTTAAATGGGAAAAGACATGAATGAATGGATATATGAATGGATGAATACAATTAATTATAGGTGCTATGAAGAAAATAAATGAGGTAGACCTACAGAGTGCATGAATACTTGCTTTAGGCCATTGAGAGGAGGGGATATTTAAGCTGGGACCTGGTTAGTGACAGAGAAACTTTTGTGTATCAGTGTAAAAGATCTTGATGTGCAGACAGAGTATTAGAACAGCCAGATTTAAAGACATGCGGTGGGGACTATCTTGGGTAATGACTGGGGTACAGAAAGAAGAAATTTAGTAAAAAACCTCCTTTGAGTGGCAGACATGGGCCTCATTACAAAGGACCTTGAAAGTAGTGGAGAAAATTACACGATTTTAAGCCGTAAGTAATTTGATCTTATTTCTGAGAGATCACTTTGGTTGCTTTGTGAAGAATGATTTGTAGGGAGTCAAGTGTATAAACAGACTAGCTCATCAATTACCGTAATAGTCTACAAGACATGATAGCATTTGGAAGTAGTGGAGGAAGGATGAGAATTTGTACTAAGGCTGTATACATTGTTGAAGGATCTTGATGACAATAAGGGGATAGGAGAATGATGGGAGTTTGAAGAAATTTAGATGTCTTATCAAAGTGATAGTTTTATCATTGAAATATAATTTAAACAGCTTTTCTTTAAACTGAAATGGATGAGAGATTTATTGGTATGTTTATCTTAACAGATTTTTATTAAAATCAGGGTAAAGGATGAAAATCTCGAACTTTGTTTTTATTTAATAATTTTGGAAAAATGTAAGCCATTGGATAAGCAATTCTTGCAATCATTGTTGCATCATGGGTTAGTTTTTAAAATAATGCATGAGTGAATTAACTGAATGTATTTTCCCTCAGATTAATGTCCTTCAATCAAAAAGGAGATCAGAAATTCTAAAATCAGTAAGTTATTTATTGAAACATTTTGAATATTTTAATACAAATCTAAATATATATATTTATTTAAAGCAGAATCATCAAATGTCTATAGATGTGTTATGTAAAATGGATATATATGTATATGTGTATATATTTACTATCTATTCCAATCTCATAATTAATCTTTTTACTGACTTTTACTGCTTCTTACTGCTTCTTAACTACAATTTTGTCTCTATTTTGTTATTTATATGTATCTTATATAACTGAACTTAGCAACATTTAATTTAATTTAGTGCATTTCATGTATTTATTTGAGATTGAGGGCATGCAAAAACATTTATCAGTTGACAAAAATTTCTATTAGGGTTGTAGATGATCTCTTGACTTTTTATTTTTCTTTGGTGTGCCATTAAAAAACCAATGGGGGGGGGCCCTCCCTGGTGGCGCAGTGGGTTAAAGCACAGCAAGCACTAAGAAGCTTAAGCCACTTCCTCATGAGTTCGATTCCCGACTGCCCTGGAGGAGATCCACATGGCG